TAGAACAAATGACGAACGTAGAGCACGGAATCCAGAGGCAATTCTTGGTACGATCGCAAACAGGTAACAACGAGGCGCACGAAAATTTACGAAGAATGCGCGAAGAGGCGCTCGATGAGTTTTCTTCATTGGAAGCGCGCACGGATAAATTAAAGTGAGTCAGCGCGCGCGCGGGGAAGCCTCATCGACCACGGACAAAGTTAATTTTAGCCGAACGCTTATCTCGAGTCCGCGCGTATCCGCTGCAACCCAACAATTGCCCCGCGATGCTGCTGCTACAGGCTCGCCCAAAAGTATGCTCGTGGCGCGCTGTAAAAACACGACGGAATTCCAGTTGAATGGCGAGAGCCGCGCGACATCGCTGTTGCACAACCGGCGCACGAGCCCGAAAAGCGCAGTAAATAGAGGGACGAGCACGCGATCGCCGCGATGAACGTATGCGCGTTATATAGGTAAAAAGCCCATCCGGCGCGCGCGGCCCCGCGTGCAATTAGCACGTGGCGAACGGACGCGCATTACCTGCCTACTCGTGCGAATTCAACTCGCGGACGTCTCTCGAGGGCTGCCCGACCGCGTCGACTTACGCTTATGACGAATTAGCCTGACGCTGCCTGATTATATCTTTTCGCACAAGTGCACGCGCGCGCATCGTAATCGTTGCCTGCTCCCACTTACACGCGACAACGCACAGCTGATTTTACATAGTACACATCGTTCTTTTTTCGCGTGCCGCGGCAGCAGGCACGATTGGGGGGGGGGGGGGGGGGAGCATCGCTCAAGCTGAGATCGCGGCAAAGGGGAATTCCGGCGATCCACGCACGAGGATAACCGACACGTGCATCGCGCGACGAATTCCGGAAAATTGACGATTTTCGCCTGAAATTCCCAATGATCTGACTGAGGCCGACAAACGCCGTAATTGCGATAGGAAAATTATATATGGAAATGCGCCTCGCATTGCGCAGCGAACCACGCGTTGCTTCGGCTTTGCGGAAAATAATCATCGAGTAGTTTGGGACTCACGAGGTGTACGCTGAATTTCGATGACATTTTTTGTTTTTTTTTTTCAGTTAGTTTCTAACGTTGCTTCCGAGATATCGTATTTACACCACACATGGCGCACTCTGTTATTGACTTTATAAGGATGTAGAGATCACATCATTGTGATCAAAATACGTTGCACGGCACGATCTAACACGTATCTCTTGATAGTATTAATCGAATTTAATTTTTTTTCTAATTATATTAGTTCTAGTTCATCTATAACGGCATTAATATATTTATATGCTATAGAATTGTAAGTCAATGGAATTTTCAGCCTACTCGCAAAGGATTTTTTATAAACAAATGTAAAGAAATTTTATTAAGCTAAGGATTATGTGTTAACTTTATGAAGACGGCATGTTTATTTACTTGTTGCATCATTAAAATTGTCACACAAAATTGTTTACGTCAAAAATGCTATTTTAATGCCCCAGTGAAAGTGTAGAAAAAAACAATTATCATAAACAAAAAATCAACAAATTTTGACCCTAATACATAAAAATTTTTATCTATACTTGGAAAGACTTATTCTATTAGTATCTACGTGACTGTCATGAAAAAAATTATAATGAGTATTAAGCTATAAATTAATATTGTTGGACAAAATAATAAGTTTTTTAGCTTTGCACCATCCGAAGATTGATTTTGTTTTCACGATCAATTATTGCCTTGTATCGTCATAAATTGACTCAATTTGTATATTTATTTGCAATTTGTCAAAATACAGAGAAAACCTGTCAGATATTTTCTAGCTATTAAACAGAAAATGAATCGGCACTTATTTTTCTATAAGTGCATCGTTACTAAAAAATGCATACGCTTAAGCGGTCATGAAAACCAATAAAATGAATTATACAGCCAAGAGAATTGACACGTACGCTCGCATTCGGAGACATGCAATTCAAATTGAAACGATTGACTATATCGGACGTGAGAATGTACATTTTCTTCGGAAAATATGTGACTTTCGTAATGGTAAAAATCCGCCTATCTCGCTCTATATCTCCTCTTTCCGTTCAATCGTATCCTGTATAATAAAGCTTACCGAGAACCAAAGCCAATGACTACGTGCTTGTAACTGATTTTCGTCGATAATTAAATTTATTAGCCGAAACAAAAGATTCCGCGAAAACGAACGTAGTCATGAACGTAGTTATAAATTTTTATGTTTTTAAATTAGACTAAACAAAGTATCGTTACGTATTTTATTGACCAGTTTTGTAAAAGCGATCGTTCATGTAACATTTTCTCTTTTTTTTTTTCTCAACAACGAGCATTTCTCTGCTGGTCTTTTTTTACGTAAGGTTATAAAATATTTGTGAATCAACAATAGATCATTAGGAGCAATTTTTTCCTAATTAACTTTTGGTTTCAAGATAATTGAATGCTATGCATCAAATAGTCTTTACAATAAAGAAGTAATTATAGCTTTTGTTTTACAGGAAACTAAAATATTAGAAATAAAATGTTTATTAACTTAGCTGTTATATGCACAAAAAAAGAAACAAATACTTGATATATTTTTATAGAATATTAAAACTATCTTTTACATCTAATTTTGAAAATTTTTTGGATAATATACATAATAGATCTATATCAGTAATAAGTATTATATTATTTTAGCACATTTTATAAAATTAAGAACAAAGTAAAGAAATAACTTATTAAATATGTAATTCTTTAATACTCTACACATAGATTTCATACTAGAAATTAATGGTATCAAATTATATCAGCATGAAAAAAGTATTAATCAATAATTTAACGAAACCTTGTATTCTAAAAACTGACATTGTAAAAACCTAGTTGCCTAATTTGATAAAACATTTAATAGTTTGCCTTTTTAGTTTTAAGTATCCATTGCGAAATATGAAACTCTTATGTAGCAATCACAGATATTTTCTGTGTTGCAGAGGATCTATTAGGTAATTCACATATGTTTTATTTTTTATTTCATAATTATTGCTGGAAACTATTTCTGGTAAATAATAAAAAAATACTTTTCAAAATGAACATAAATATTACTTACAAATTTAGTTTTGTCTCTGTTATTGAACTCAAAGAAGCTGTCTTCGATGAAAATTTCTCAACTGATCAGCATAATGTAAATTATCTTATCAAATTCATGGGCGTTATGCAATTAGAATTTTTTTCAATAAACTGCAGATTGTATTAGCTTTACATACAACAAAGACGATCAGGACGTCACAACATACAACATGGGTATAACAATAAAAGGCACTTTATTATTCTAGTTCTGAATGAAAGTGAAACAACAATTCTCACAATATTAAAATACACAAAAACCATAATTTAAAAACTATATAAAATATGCTAATAGGTTTTATAACCTCTATCCCATTACTACACTCGACGTCGAAACGAAACTTTCGGTAAAAGTGGAAAAAAACCAGATAAAACTTATAATAGCGTGAATACTGTGGCCACAAAGGTCCGGATGACGTATTCTATGTATGTGGCAAGAATTCATCATTAGGAAGAGATGAAAAACCTCTCGAGAAAGGATACTTTCGCATTGACGATGCTTCTATTCGAATAATTAAGCATTACACTTCATACAACACAAAAAAAAACAATTGTTCTTATTGCAAAAACTTATAGTAACAGAGTCGATGACTTTTAATTATCCATCAGTCAATATATAGACAAAAAAGAAAATATAAAATAAGCAAACGACATATAGCCGAAAAAATGGCTCGCCAGATAAAGCAGTTAGGACTCAGTTGATAAAACAGCTTTTCTGTTCTCAGCGTACTATACCAATCTACAGATGTACACAGGAAGACTGAACTGCAAAGTGAAGAGACGCAAAGGTGGGGAAAAATCATCGTCTCGGACCTCGGTGTGGTCCGTCGCTGTCAAGTCAACGCACAATACACGACTCCATTCGGAACGCTAAACAAGTGGGACTCTCATTGAGAACACGTCAGTGATATTCACGGCTACAAAGATTTGTAAGACTTTTTGCTATCCGGTGAGTTTGAGAATTTTGCAGCTTTTAACCAGAACGATTCTGCTCGATAATAAAAAAGGTTACTTTCCCTCTTATTTTGACGTTAATATATCAGTCAGTTACTTGCGCTTTCTTAGACTTTTGCCTTAAATCACTTGGTGACGCACTTACCTCGATAAATATTGAATAAATTATTAGCTTTCATCTATAAATCTTAAAGTTACTTGGGTCTTGCAGTCAATTGAAGATAAAAGCTTTGTATGACTCAGATGCAGCATGCATATAGTTGTCACGCAAGTAACTTAGACGCAGGGCGTGAGACATTGTTCAGATATTTTTTTTATTCATTTACTAATAAAAATGAATGAATTTTAAGTTTCTTTTTTTATTATAATTTTTTAAACTCACATATTGATCTTTCATTCAGATGTTTGTTTTTAATTCCATCATTTTAGCTCAACATCTGTGTACTACTTAATCACTAATCATTCTAAAATATGTGTAACAGACAAGTTTGAATACTGCATACATTAAATTTTTAATATTGTATAAGTGATATTTTTTTGACTAGGCTATTTTATCGTTGAAAATACTTGTCTAATTTTGTGTTCTTGAAATATATTAATATAAAAAATGCCTACTCACTGATTAACCAATAATGCTGACACAGAATATTACAGCAAAATGTCCAATATTGGAAATTTGGAGCAAAAAATTGCAAGCTTGCACTTAAACCATGATGGCAAATCTTCAGCACCACAGTCGGGTAAAAAAGTTAGACCTGCTGTGCCCCCAAAACCAAAAAAATCACAGCCACAGGTCAGTTATTATTTTTATTATTAAAAATGTAATTTCAATATAGCTTCAAACTTATTAATCATGCAATGTTCTACAATGCATTTCCATTTATGGAATACAAAATGGTAATTGTATTACATTAATGAGTACATTTTATTAATTATATTTCGTTACAAGAAGAATGCAATTTTTATTAGGCCAGCATATTTATTTTTCTATATGCTTAGTGACTCATATAAGACATGACTCACTCATTGCTCATATTCTTTATCATGTTATAATTTGATCTCTTACTGTATCTGTTAGATTAGGTATTAAAATATTTTGAAAATAATAATTAACACGTGTTAACAGGTGCCACAAAGTTATTCAATAAAGGCTGCATCCATTCCATCATATAGTACAGTATTGAACAATACTGGATCTACTGATAAATCAACAAACCTGTACATGAATTCTCCAGTACCATTCATTCCACATAGCGTAGAGAAGACTGATTATCCTTGCTCTATGCCATTAAATGGAACAAATACTTCTAAAATCTATCAAAACAATGAGAATTTTTACACGAATCAATCACCGGAGAAATTTGATACAATGTACAGATACGATGATAAGAACTTTTATTCAAACATTGGTAATCTGCCAGGACCACAAGTGCCAATCACAAGTGATAGATCAAATAGATCAACTAGAAATGCAGTTTACAGCAACGTAGAACCTGCCATTCCTATACCTGTTCCTAAACCCATACAGAAGGAAAAAGATATTATTTACAGTAATATTCAATGGAATGCTACTAAACCTGAAAATACCTACTGCAATATACCAGGTCCAGGCCACAACTCTGGTAAGAATTCAAATATTTTGATAAATATAATCAACAATTAGCATCCTCTTTTTTTCATTTTAATTTTATTTAATTCAATAATTATTTCATTCATTTATAATTTTTTACTATTATTTTGTTATAATTTTCGTTTGATTTGATTTGATTTTTCCTTTTTTATCATTTTAGATGATTTACCACCACCCCCTGAACCTTTAGAATATATTTCTTGCATACCTGGTAATTCCTTTCCTTCACCTCCCGAAGAACTCCCACCTCCACCAAGTCCTGTGTCATCCAGTTACAGTGAATTAAGAAGAGCAACTTATCAAACAGATTTTGTATCCGAAACCTACCCGAATGATATTTATGGCCCAAGCTCTCAATCTAGCTCCACTTATGAATCAATTTATGAACCAATAAATCCAAGGCCACCATCTCAACTGTCTTGTAATTACTCGGTTTACTCTGGATATGGTTCTGCTTCTCAGCCACAAGGAAAAGTTTCTCCAGTAAAAGAAGTAAACAATGCTATTTCTGAAATTTTGTTAAGTTGAAAATGGAAAAAACCAATATAAGAATTCTTGTTTTAACAGGTAGATGCATTGACAGATCTGTTAGTGCAAGGAATGGAAGATAATGCAGAAGACAGTGATATTTTCGGTATATGTGCACAATGTGGAAAAAAAGTTGAAGGAGAAGGAACTGGATGTTCTGCCATGGATAAAGTATTTCATATAAGCTGTTTCTGTTGTTATGTTTGCAATGTCAATCTGCAAGGGAAACCGTTCTACCCACTTGAAGGAAAGCCTTACTGTGAAGATGATTACTTGAATACTCTGGAAAAATGTTGCGTCTGCACTCGACCAATTTTACACAGAATTCTACGAGCTACAGGAAAACCATATCACCCCTCGTGCTTTACTTGCGTCGTTTGTGGTCAAAGTTTGGATGGAATTCCATTCACTGTCGATGCGACAAATCAAATACATTGCATACAATGTTTCCATAAGTAAGTCGAGAGGATAATTTTGAAAACGATGATATAAATGTTGATTTTTATCGATGATCAATCCTAACTTTTTTCTAGGAAATTTGCTCCGCGATGCTGCGTATGTAAATTACCAATTATGCCTGAATCTGGCGATGAAGAAGAAGAGACTGTTCGTGTTGTTGCACTAGATAGAAGTTTCCACACTCAATGCTACAAATGCGAAGATTGCGGATTAGTTTTATCATCTGATTCAGAAGGTGGATGCTACCCATTGGATGACCATGTCTTATGCAAAAGTTGCAACGCTAGAAGAGTGCAAACTTTAACGTCGCATATGACAACTGAACTATAAAAAGTAAATATTGTTATTCTTGACACGCAATCGATAACTAATAAATTGGGTTAACATTTATTATACATTATCGTAATACTTTTTTATTCCAATTTTGTAATGACTAAATAACATTTCGAGGTTTTTAAAATTTTTTTACATACATAAACTTTTTATAAGTGCATTTATAATATATATAAATATATAAATTTAGATTTGTTCTAACTACAATATGCAGAAAGTGAGCCTGTTAAATTATAAAACAAAAAAAATAACAGTTACGCATCGACTTTTTTTGTAAACAACTGTAAATAAATAAAATACGTTTATATTGTTAGACGAATTAAAAGAATTTATAGAGAATCAATTGCTTTTATAAATGCATATACAGATATTGAGTGATTTATTACTTCTGCGTGAAGAAATTATTTATAGTTATTTTATAAAATCAGTGTTAATACCATACATCCGACAATGATTTTGAAAAATATTAACATCAAATTTAACGTAAGGCATTCTATAGCTATAATGTTGCAATACATATAGGAATGCTGTTAATAAAATGAACAAACATGCATCTATGTATCAAGTCAAGAATAATATTTATAAGATATAAGTAAGTATCTATCTGTAAATTACTGGTAGAAAAATTGTGATGTCTTTAGATGTAATGGTAAACTATACGTTATTATTGTAAACGAAACTATGAATGTTATACATGCTTGGTAAAGATTCACGCATAAATAAAGCCTATAAAAATTAATCATTTGTTTTGATTTGAATAAGGTAGAAATAATAACAAATTCTTTTTATTGCATCATTTATATATTTAATATTTTAGATGAGATAATTTAAGTATTTCTTTCCAGAGGTTTCCATAGATTTATACAGTTATATTCATAGTTGTTGATTTTGACTTGTCAATTATTATTTCTTTTCTACAGTATGCGTTTCACTTATTTTATTTTTTATTATGTATTGTGATTAATTTACCTCTTAAATAATATAGATGCATTTTTTAATATAATATACATGTTTATTTTTCCATATATATATTTTGTTATTGTAGATCACCTGCTTAAATTACACCATCTTCGTAATGAATCTACATAAATTATCTCTGCAGAGTTTGAGTTATACATTCATACATGCGAAAATATTAACTGGAGTTTCGTGCAAGAGCGATGAAGAGTTAATACATCATTGCAATAAATTACTGTTAGATATTTTCGATCGTTTTGAATTTCAATTTTCTTTTGAAAGAAGCTTTCATTCCGATATAATTTTGCATATTTCTTTCGAAACCTATAATTTGTTTAAGCCAACCAAATATGTAACAATTTTTCGATCACTGTTCTATTAAATATTTGATCATTTCAAGTAGCATATTGTTTTATTACAGGTATCTGTGAACATCGAGAATGTGATGCAAAACTTACACACTTTTTTAAATATTTTTTTTGTTTATAAAAATTTTATTTATTTTTAATACTTATTTTCTTTTAACAATTAGTCTTTCGATATATAAAAGATAATTTGTAGAAAGTAACAACTTTGGTAAAGTTTCAAGTAGATGATTTCAAAAAACTTGGATAATCATTTTATAAAATAATTAGTAAGGTTTCATATAAAAAAAAATACTTCCGAAGAGTTCGTTCCATCATAACAACCTTAAGTTTCATTTTGCCCAGGTTAAATTTTTTTAGGTCAAACAAATAAGTAATACGAAATTATATTCCTTGAATTATAATTGTTTTTATTTTCATGTACCATATTTCATAACTTTAATGAGAATTTATATTTGTCTAAATGCTGGGAAAATTGTTATACTCAAATCTATTCTTATAGCTGTACATACACTTTTTTCTAGTAATTTCTACCATGTCTCTATTGTTAATTAGATAGTTAAATCGAATATTCATCTAGATAAATCAAACAAAACCAAAAATGAATAATCTATTATCGTTGAGGAATCTTTGGCTTTATTAAAGAGTAAACAGTACTGATTGATTTTCTATTTTTAACGGAGCAGTTTTTAAATAAAAATACTACGATTTTTTCTTAAAAAAAATATTCATCGATATATCTCATTTTACAAAGATTATACATATTTATATTTTCTGAATGAATTTGTATTTTATTATGTGTTTAGTCTACACTTATAAGACCATCGTTCGTGCACTTACTCCTTTTCTCTTATCGCGTTAAAATTATTGCTCGATAGATTTGATAAAAGTAAATTTTCATAAACTACAATCTACTTATCGTTTTTTATTCTTTTTTAGCAATATTTTCAGGCATATTCAATTTTTGTTGACACATTCCCGATAATCAGTGTTTCTCTATAAGTATCGATAAAACATCCTGATGTTCTATTTATATTTTTGGTTTTCCCATAATAAATATAACTACGATAATTATCATAATAAAATATATAATTATATTTATTTTAGACAAAGTGGATTATATTGTGTTCATTTTCAAAATTAATTCACAACACTTTAATAAATTTAGTGCTTTTAATAACATTTGCTCTACATCAGTTTTGAAATTCAAAATTTTGTTCAATGAAGGTGTCGTTATCGATAACCGTAACATTAGAATTTAAAAGTATGAAAAAATTTTTCTTACTACTTCACTCCGATTGTCTTTGTAGATTTTTTATGAAAATTTGTTGATATTTTTTTTAATTACCGACGATCTGTGGTTTAAACAAACATTCAAAGCAAAAAATTTTCATATTCTGCATATTCTAGTGTATTACGGATATCGTGGGAAGAACCTTAATGCGGTATGTACATTGTGCTTTATTTTTGTCAAATTAAAGTATATCGTGTATATCTAAAATAAGTGAATTCAAGACAATAATTTTTTAAGAAATCTATATTGTTTTATTGATTTATCCACTTTGTCCTTTCCTTGCAGTCAGTTTCATATTTCGAATGCTTCTACTTTTTTCTGTTTAATTAAACATACTCTATATTTCTTAAAATGAAAAAAAAAACATGTCCTCAAATGTGTATAACACATATTTACTAACTTACGCTCTGCTAAATCCTATCATCTTTACAGATTTATACGAAGTACTTTTAATATATCCTTTTCTTTATGTACCGCATATCTTGCATTCCATACTGAATTTCGCGTTTCGATTTGCACAAATGTAACAATTAACAAACGTCAACATCTTTGAAGAAGTGACTGCAAATAAACGCCAAATTTAACATGGAAAGATTAATTTTTTTTTATACTTTTCAAATAGATATATATTTATCTATATTTTAATATGTTCACTTTTTCATTGATATACACGTATATCGAGAGAAATTTACCATATAAGTTTATATATTATTCTTTCACTTGCACACAGTATAGTCACAGCCATCTCTCCACGTTCGAGTAGATGCTTATGATGACGAGATTTTTTATCGTGATATACGTTCACTCACATATCTTCATTTATTCTTTAAATCCCAATGGCGTATTCGTTACTACTAGTAATTAAATATTGCTGAAATTATTGACTGAGTTGACACAGATAATCAAAAGTGCGCCTTTTTTTATTTCATTAGGTACCGTTGTTATGCCACAATCATTCAAGCCAAATAACAGTCCATCACACAACGCCGACAGTGTTGTATGTAAATTTTTTCATAGGTATTTGATAATGTAGACTTAACAACAATATAGTAAAGTGACTTGAATAATCGATTGCTCGTAATCAGTGAGAACTCAGTCAATCCAAATTACACGAATAGAAATGTAGATACTGAAATGAGCAACTTTTTGACGTGTGACAATGCATGTATTTTTTTTGTGGCATCGACGTCATCGATGAAATTTGACTCCTTACATAGACTCTTAAATATCGTTTATAACATATTTGCTTTGTTTTTTTAATTTTTTCTTTGTTCTCGCTCTTTTTTCAACTCTCACTAATCGTCAACATCAACGTAACAACGTATACTTTCACACTTCCAAATTCGCTGAATGATAACTAGCCTGCTGGCGGACTTTGTAAATCAATAAATAAATAGAGGAACAACATTCTTTAGACGTTTTTCCTTCTTTATTATAACAACAGTAGAGGCTTTCGGAACGTAACGCAACAAACGTTCAACAATACAACCACGAAAACAAATAGAAGGCACTCTTCTTTTTAATAAATTAGCATCTTTGTAACAACTCACAAGTTTTCTTAATCTGTTCTAGGCCATATCGCATTATATTTGCCGTCATATATTTCATATTTTCATACGAGCTTCGCTTTTTTCTCTTTTAGTTCTACGTAGCTACAGTAAATTTGCCGCATTTTACTACAACGGTCATTTACTTTACTCTTCGTTAACATAAAGCTTCTTGGTTTGCCCCTTTTTTCTGTCACATTCTTATTCCGTTTCATTGTTCTTATTAGTAGACAATACAAGCTACAATACTCCTGACTGAGCTAACAAATTATCTTTATTCGTCGATAAATTAAATTAGTATTAATAACAATTAGATAGAATATTATTTAATCTTTTATAATATTTTAATAATTTAATTATTGTTATTCGCTTGGAAGCTCACAGCCAACACATTTAAATTCACCACTTTTTTTATATTTAATCTTTATTCGTTTTTGGGCACGGGGCTTCCATTCATTTTTCATCGCTTCCATTTTTTAATTTTTTTATTAATCACGACACAAGTAATCAAGCTAATCATTACACTAACATAACGCAACAGATTCATTTTTTATACCATCAATCGAATAAAATAATATAATAAACAATGGAACGAATCAATAAACTGACATTTGACAAAGTAACTAACGCTCTGCATGATGAAAAAAAAAGACAAATTTTCAATAGCTGATCATTGAAATTAAAAAAATTATTAAAAAAAAAGAAAATGATTTAAAAAAAAACTATTGATACGATACTTTTACACATAGAAAATAATCCGGACGTGGCAGTGCCTTGAGCAACTGTATGCTTTTTTGTTTTGTTTGTTTATGAAATGACATATCTCTGCTTTTTCGTCAAAAAAGCCCCCGATATTTTGTTTTAAATCTTTTGAACACATGACAGATCGCTCATACATTTGTACGATAATATTATTTTGTATCTTTTCTACCGTAGTCTCATCCGTCTACCTACTCTAGCCTTGCTCGCGAGATTCATGCTTTTTTTTTGTTGTCGAGCCTATCGTCATTTTTCTCCACATTACATGCAATCATGTAATGATATTATGTTTTTTTAATAATCGTTTTTTGTATATATATATGTATATATATATATATATAGCTATATATATTGTTATAATATCCAACTGAGCTTGTATTTCTTTTTTCTTATTAGTTTTTTGAAGGAAAAGGATTGCAGTTGATTTTTTAAGTGTATAATAGATATATAAGATAATGTATATACGTAGCGTTTTGCAATATATACGTGAGAGATAATATAGATATATATATATACTATATGCCTTTGTATATATCGTACCTCATGTAACTAATAATGTTATATGTGTATATATATGTATATATATGTTGTGTATATATATATATACATATATACACACCCCTCTTTCTCTCAGCTTTAATGAATTTATCGTCACATAAATCATCTTACTATAAATATTCAACAAGTCGGTTCACCGAGATTCATCATGATCTTGGTATGATTTTTTCGTATGTGTGTAGATATGTGGATAACGATTTTCAAAAAAGTATAATGATCCGAGGTAATTTTTCGTGTGGTGGTAATGGTGGTGGTGGTAGCGGGAATACGCGGTAACAGGCAAAATAAATCGCACTCATATCGTCGCTCATTATACACATATACTCTACATACATATATCGTCAATACATCCACGTAGCTCACAATCGATAATGAATATATAATAACAAGAACAATAACAACGAGTGGGTCTGGCTTCCGACACAAGTGATGAGGCGTACACTTTTCTTTCCTCACTTTTCTCTCCTCACTTTTCTCTCCTCACTTTTCTCTCCTCTCTCCCCTCTCCCTCTCTTTCTGTAACACTGCACTGCGATGAGAAAGCTGCGACGATAACAGCCAACAAACTAAAGTCTGGCAACCATCTCAAAGACTGAGCGCCTGAATCTGATGGCACGACTCGTTCACTTGCTGCTCGGTACTGCTACTACCACTACTTCCACCTTGAGGAGTCGTCGGGGGTGTGATCGGCAACATCGGCGGTGCGTCGCCAGCTCCTCCGAGGCTCGCCTCATTCACTGGTATTTTGCCACCAGTAGCACCACCGCCGCTCACTAAACCATTTATCTTGTACTTGCTCGTCTGCTGCTGTTGGCCTCGCATCGGTGGTTTGCCGCGCATACTGCTAGAGGATGTCGGGTACCTGCGCTGTGACTGCTGCGGTTGTGCGGAGGACACCCGTTGAGCCGGCGGCCCGAAGAACTGGACCTGGGTGGGGTTGGGAGAAGGTGAGTGATTAGGAATAGGACTAGGCTCGCTCGCCGTATCATTCGGCTGCTGCTGTTGCGGTTGCTGTGGTTGTTGATGATCCGCACTCATTGTCAGATTCGGACCACGATAACTATTTACATTCACGTGCCTACCCCGGGTTGATGGTTTCGAGTGAACACCATTCGCGTACTCATAAGCATAGCCAGGTTTCTGGAAAGGCATGGTATAAGCACCGTAAACGAACTGCTGTTGACTAACGCTTCTGGGACACGTGGCTTTTTGCTGAAAGTAACAAGTATTCGCGGAAGCAGTCATAGGTGTACCGCGCTTGTTATATTGTGACAATCGTGCGGGAGGAGTGGAGACGCGAGGGTACTTTGTCGCTTGGAATGCCGATCGACCAACATAGGCCGATTGCTGAACTAGAGGTGGCTTATGGCCGTAGGGCAAAGGCTTCGAGGGAGGAGTTGGCAAGAGGCTCGCGCCACCGCCACGATGCGGAATGTAAAGGGGAGTCGGATAAATGGAAACCGGATAGTGCTGTTGCTGCTGCATTGGCGGTTGTTGCTGTTCCGAGTCATCGCCTTGCAACACGTTGCCAACTAAGGCTGGAATGATGGTGGAGGATAAGGTAGGATTTGTGTAACGGGGATTGGGATATTTTGGCGCCGTTGGCTCTACGGTCGACGGTGGGCTCGTCGCGTTACTACCACCGCCGCCGCTGTCCGATGCCGTAGCGGTCTGTTGTTGTTGTTGTTGTTGCTGATGTTGCTGATGCTGCTGCTGTTGATGTTGCTGCTGCTGTTGCAACTGCTCAGTATGACTCGATGTCGAGCGGGTGTCCTGTAGTGTCAGTGCAAGCGAAATGTGAGAACACGAACAAGAAGCTATATCGCTGGGTTTGCGTACCGCTAACTTTCGGATGTATGACATTGTATCGTACCTGGGTGCAAAAAATAATTCAAATGGTGTGTGTGTCAATTACCTCCTGACATACTTGCGATTCGTTCGCTGGAGGCTGACCGATCTCTGTGGCGTAGACAAGCAACTGCTGATCACCGGGCAAAGTCAAAGGTCCAGCATGGTGCGGTTGTGGCTGATAAGAATAGTAGATATGCTCCATCTGTGGTGGTGGATGAGGTGCACCAGCAGCCATGGCACCAAGGGGATGATGTGTGGTGCTTGGCCCATAATAATGGGTCTGAAATTGTGGTGGCGAGTGTCCTGAAACTGGACTTGCTGCAGAAGTGGCACCCGAGTTGGCGCCGCCTCCGCCACTGCCACTTGTCGACGAACCCCCGGTGCCATTCGATGTTGTGCCGCCATTCGTTGAATACAGGAAGGGTGGCGCCCCAGCGGCCGTCGTTCCTGGGAAGTACGGCTCATACTGTGCAACAAATAAATGATAATTAGAAAAAAACTTGTTCCTTTTCTGAGATTACCATAAAGATTATATAAACATTAAATAACATTCAAGTTGAAATTAAAAAATTTTTAAACGTGAACGGGAACTTATAAATGTTGTAATTTTATTAATTTATTGACGTTTTTTAAAGATGCAAGTAACTTTTCTTTAAAATTAAAGCTAGTTATCTTAGAAACATAGTAACTGAAAATTTGCTTCGAGAGTGCCCAATGGCATAAGAGGTGGAAGTATTAGGGCCAATTAAATATCAAGCTTGATTTGATTATGAAGCATAGATTATACAAGTTAATCAAATGCAGTTATAATTTTCTTATGTTTATTTTATGTGGCAAGTATTTTTATGCTCGATTACAGAGAAAAAATTTCAATGACAACCTTTCACTTGTGCAAATTTCCAATTTGAAGCGATATAATTACAATAAGATGAAAAATGTGTTTCACTAGCGTGTGAAACGATAATCGAAAAACAGTAAAATAACATTTTATTTGTATAATTAAGGTAGAGGTAAGATACACAGATTTAGCTAAATGGCTTGAAAGCTAAAAAAAACAGATTAATATCGTAAAATAAACATAAAAATAACGACGATCAGCTCATGCGACATCAGCTCATGCTGCATATATATAATTAAAAAAAAACTTGTGCTATTAGGTAGAAAAATTAATCGAGCGAATATATGTCGGTGCATGCTTGACACATGTAGCACAGTGACCATGTACCTTTAGACCTCAATACTGTATTGCGTCGAGAAGAACGTAAGTAGGCATTTGTTGAGGATTGGGCAGAAACGCCGGTGGTATTGCTTCCCCCATCAGACTGTTTGTCTGTCAAAACCGCAACCGTAACGACAAATTGTTTAAATTCAACAGTACAATAAAAAAAGGAACCACGCTTTCAAGTTTCGTTGTTTCAATAGAAAAAAAAGTGAATAACCCAACACTTCAAATAGACAACACAGTTGCCACACTGTGGCACTAGAAAAGGAAAACGCCAAGTCAAAAGCACAAGAGGTAAAAGTTAACTCACCGGCATTGGGGAATATGGATACTGTTGCGGCATGTAAATCGAGGGTGCTGGTACTGGATACATCATGGGACCGTAAGTTTGATGACTGGTGGCAGCTTGCGGTCCTGAGAAACGATAAAATTCGTATTGATAAAATTGCAGAAAAAAAGGTTTTATAGTATAATAAGTAAATGAATTTTACCAAAGACTCCTGCAGCTTGATACAAGGCTGTTGGATCAGTTGGTGGAGCAATCGCAGCTCCTGGAGCAGGAGCTCCTGTATTATAAAATGTCACGCCATTCTGGTATGGCAGGGCCATTCCTGAAAATAAATATTATATCATTACTTAATCAATCAGTCTTCTCCTTATACAAAATAACAGCCATCTTAAAATATTTTTTCACTTACCATTTGCATAGTAATATGGATTTGTTGGTACAGCAGGAGGAGATCCAGTTCCACCATCAAATGATCGATTAAATGGCTGTTTTTTTATTGCTGGAGCGATGTTTAATTTTCTCTCTTTAAGTACAATACATTCAGACTGTAAGATAAGAAATGCATTATTTAAATTGTTGAACAATGAGATCAGATGACTTGTAGAATTAAATTAATTGAATTATAGAAAAATGTACCTCTTGTTGAAGACGTTTGGCTTCCTCTTCAGTCTCGAACGTGACAAAACCATAGCCTTTCGAAACTCCCCCTCGATCAGCAATAATTTTTGTAGCTTTGACGTTACCATAATTAGAAAAAAGCTGTGCTAATTCAGCTTCGCTTGTGCTTGCTGATATTCCACCAACAAATATTCTATTGGGCACCAAAGTACCAAATTTTGGTGCTGCCATTGCAGCTAGACTTGCTGCTGATGCAGGACTAGAGGCTGGACTGGAGCCTTCTGTGCCCCCTATAGATGATGTCTGCAAGACAAAAGAATGATTCATGAACAATTTTATTTCCAAGATGCTTATTGTTTTTGATAAACTGTAAAAAACTCTAGTATTTTATTTTCTCAACAACTACCTAAACTTGAGCAAAGCTGATTTCTTAATTTTACAAAAAAACTACATTAAATACACATATTAACACGTAGAAACAAAGAGAAACGAGATTCAGAGGAATCCGAAAATGTACTGTATGAAATGATCATAAACTCGAAACTACATAAACTGTCATTGAAAGCAGCAACAAAATTCAGGCAAAACGAGGGACGACACTTGACTGTCGATTAATAGCTGCAAGTTGTTTCAGCCCGTCACAACTTCAAGTCAAACAAACACTTGTCAGCGAGCTAGAAGAAAATGCTCTATCTCTGTCGTGCATAACGAGTGTATAGAAGCGTAGCTGCATTGAAGCGCGAGGAGAGACAAGGGGAGAAAAATTTGTGAACGAAGTAGTCCGTAATCGGGTATCAGCAAACGTGAAAAGCATCCTTACAACCTCGTTGGTAGTGCAGCCATGGCGAAAGAAAAAAAAAGAGAACGAGTGTGGTGACGGGGAGAGAGAGGAAAAGAGTTCGAGTGCGCGTGAAAACAAAACACGACGAGGTGGCGCACTCACCATCTTCGGCTGGGACGGTCGCGCGGTCGAATCCATTGGAGATGGGCTCGACGTTGTTCGAAAGCTCACTAACTCTCACGGTCGCTCTTGTACCTTGGATCACTTGTGTGTCCAGCAGCAGCAGCAGCCAGCCAGCAGCAGCAGAACCTCTCGACTCGACGTCGTCTCGTCTTTCTCGCTCTGTCGCGCTGCTGCTGCCTATGCACGTACTTGCACTCACACATGCAAGACACGCACACTAGCTCCTCTTCATAGCAGCACAGAGCTAGTCTCGTGCTGCGCGAAGATGACTATAAAGCGAAGAGCTACTGTGAGCGATAGAACAGTACGGCTACTCGTCGAGCTTACGCGTGCACGAGAGCCGCTCCACTACAAGATGGCTGCGTGCGCGCGCAACGACGAATGAACAACGACTGACTGTCTACTGACAGTGCTGACTGCTGCTGCGCGCTGTCGTTCCGTTTCTCCCTCCCGCCCTCCAACCCCACCGTCTCTATCGCTTCACTATACTATGACTACTACTATTACTTCTACCTTGGATTATCTCGTGTCCTGTGTAAAGCTGGCTGTACCTATCCTTTTTCTACCCGTTACCGCACATACACGCGACCTTTCCATCTCTGCTACCAAAGCCATAGTTCGTGCTCACGTGTGCAACGCGCCAAGTGCGAATACACCGCTACCGCACACCACACACTCTGATGAGTAATGACCAACCGATCGAAGTCTTCAAATTTCTCATTTCGCGAAAACGTCTCGTCATTTTTGTTTTTTTTTGTCTCGCGAGCCAAATGAGAATATTAATAGCGGGCATACAATTGATAACACGACGTATACTCTCTTACCGATATCAAAAGAAACACTTGACGCGAGCCGCGAGTGTGAGTAGGTATATACATAAGAAAGAAAAATGATTTTGCTCGACTATCATTTTTCAAATATAACACATTCACGTAACGATTATCGAGACGATCGCTTTCGCGCGCACTGTGTGATTATATCTCTAATATACGGTCAAAAGTAGTTCCCACGCTCGTTATTCAATAGGTATGTTTGAAATTCCTAGATAAAAAGTAAAAAAAGTTGCAAGCTTACCTTATTTTGTATACGTCCCAGCACTCTGCCGCAGGAGACTTGTTGATGTTGACAGTCCCCTGAGCGTCCAGATAACAAACACAGTCACACTAGCCTTTTTACACCGCGGAATAAAGCAACATGTATAACAATATTTTTTTAGAATGGGAATACGTTCAATCCTTCTTGCAAAAAAGCAAAAATAACCAACAAATAACAATGATAGCACAGCACGAACTGAACACTAAACAAGTATAAGCATAATCATGCAACGAGTTTATGCAGGCAGGAACCAGAGAGAGAAAGAGAACTATACCCTTCGCCAGCTCATGACACACTGTGCTGGCACTGCTGCTGCCTTCCTTTAATACCAAGGAATTCGTCTCTTTGCCCCGCCTCCCCCCCTCCGATTGCAAACCTACAGGAGTGTAGCTCATATTTGCGCTTTGTTTACATGATGACCGGGAAAGGCCCTTGGCATTTTCAAAAGTATCGTTAAAAGGGCATTAACAGCTTCGGCGTGACAGAGTTGGGGGAGCCCGAGGTTATTAATAGTCAGAAAGGTGTGCTGCGGAAGTGCTGGTGCTTTGTAGGCCAGCGTAAGCCGATGTATTTCTCCAATTGGCAAGTGGCAGAGAGAAAGACCGCACGTGCGATTGTTTTCTGCGCGCACGGTGTCGCTCTCGCTCGGATGTTTTGGTTTGGCCGATTACGCGCGCGTTGTATGTCGATCGACCTACAGACGGTAGAGCTGTGCGATAACGATTATGCGAATAGAATTATATATTGTTTATAATTATTTTTCTTTAAAGTCGGGGTTGCCAGCATATAAGCTTTTCAAACATTTTCGTGATTTATTTCTTATTATTTATAATAAAGTTTAATAGTGAAGCAGTAGAAAAAAAAAGTTAGAAGATAGTCGAAAGTTTATGTTTTAATATACAAAAGAGACACAACTAATAGGTATAATATTTATGAGCCGACATCCGAGAAACGGAAAAACAGAAACACAAGAGAATTAAATCCGGTATAAATTGAGCGTCGACCACCCCCCCGACGTAAGATCATAAATCTAAATAAAAGGATCTCGTTTCCTACGACCATCTCTTCCATGATACCTGAGTTTGGCGACAAATTAGCGGAATACTTCGACTTTTCAACAGGCCATGCGGAAAGCACGTCGAAACCCCGGATTTTCGCTTATCCACGTATTGTTTTCAAAAATAGTGTGGCTGTGTATCCCGTGTTCGGGAAAGAAATTCTCGTCTTGGTGCCCTTCCAGCTTTCGCTGGTGACAACAATTTACTTTCTCGTACTAATAAAGCAATGTGATATTCCCGGTCGGAAAGAAATATTTGTACCTTTCCGATGTTCATTGTTGCTTATAGGTAATCCGCTTCTCCCAATGATCATTCTCTTAATGTCATGGGCGTACAGAAAGTTAGCAAGAAAACTCAAAAGATTTGATAGTCAATTTGCTTATTTTTTTATAGGTCGCCTTTCGATCGACTAAATTTACTGGAATCGCCAGTTCGTGGACTATTCTTTCGTATTACACGTTCAACTAATTTTTTAATCTTCTGTAGGTTTTACAAACTTGTACAAAAAATGAAAAGAACAAAGAAGTAAATTCAAGAAAATAGGTAGAATATAGTAGGGATTTCTTTGTGTAAATAATCAAACCAAATTTTAGATGTAACAAAGTCTCACGATTTATTCGTAAGTATTCAAACTAACTACCTCAAAATAGTATTATAAAAATGTAGAAAAATAGGTAACATTGTTCCTCTTAAGTGATTAATACTTAAAACCTTCGTGTTCAACTACGAAGAAGAGAATATAGGTAATAATGTTGTCTTTGGTAAAAACATCAGTAGCAATGAGATGGATCACTGGGTACTAATGAATATGTTGATCCATTTGATATGTTCGCACTCGTTGTCAGTTTCGAAGTCCTCGTTGAGTGCTGAAACAAAAAAAAAAACGGAAAAAATTCAATTCACGTCTACTTTTGATAAAACGTCAAATAAATGTTCTAAAGTACATTTTTGGGTTGCGTAAAATGAAAGGCTAAGTGACATGAAATATTGTATAACCATGTAGTTGTATGCGCGTCAAGGTGGGAATATAATCAAATTTAATGTGTTCTTGAAATGGTCTCATGAGTAAATTGAGCTCGCAGGCATACTGTGTGTACGCACGTCTTTTCTTTAAAATATGAGCATTAACACTTGGGTGTCAAACAATTTCATCTTATCGATGGTGCTATTGAGCCTTTCTATCACATTATCATGCGAAAGCTCTGCTTCTCTGCTTCTAAACATTTTTCCCAAAAATCGAATTTTTTTAGTAAAACTCGATAACGAGCAGTAAAAATGAAGTATCATTAGAAATGCTTTACTCACGTATTGTTCTTTGCAGAAGCAACACTCGTTCGTTGCGTTAGCCCAGGCTCGATCGCAAGAGATCCTGCGATCAGCAAGCTCATCGTAGAGAAGAAGCGATAGGTGTTTGATGTAACTCGTGGCAAGCTTGAGAATCTCGATTTTGGAAAGCTTGCGATTGGTCGGTTGCGTCGGTATCAGTGTCCTTAGCGCGCTAAATGCTGTGTTGACGCTACGCAATTTTATACATATACAACGTTGACTCAAGTACACCAGTTCTATTAATAGTCAGATAAAAGAGCAATTACGTTTGAAAAAAACAAATAAGAAAAAAAAAGAAGTGACTGATAAAAAATGTCACGAGAGTTCACGTAGATTCTATCGATGGCGAGCTAGGAAAATGTAATCGCGCATTGACTTTGAATATTACATGCACTTAGTGAATCCGCATTCGAAGAAGAATGATCCCTCGTGTATTTTATGTGACCAAGCACGCCTGGTACGAAAAAAATGCTTAGATCGCGCACTCACCTGAGGGTCCGATCTCTCTCCCTGGCATTAGCTTGACACCTAAGGCTAACCGGTTGCTGGGCCCTCCTCCTGGCAGCCATGTCGGCGCAGCGATTTTCCGCGCGTCTCACGCTCGCACTGCCCGCCATGCTGCTGCCTCGCGGCGACGAGTGACTCAAAGAGCGCGGAGGCTGCCGCCTCTCTCCTCGCCCTGCCACCCGTGACCCGTGCACGCACGCACGCATGCACACTTTTTCGTCGTTTCGTTTCGCGGCTCTCGCGCGTCGCGGAAGCGCGAGAGAGATGCGTGCGCGCCGGATGTCGCAGTTTGTTATCTGCTAATTCGCTCGTTGACGCGCTTTATTGGATGATTAATGCCCCCCCCCCCCCTCCCCTCCCGCCGCTCGCCAACGCGCTTTGTGCACAACTCTTGGTTCTCGCTTTTTTCCCTTTTTGCTTCTCACTTTCTACGCAATGTCGCCGCTGGCGACGTAATGGTATAGCTTGTCGAATCGATCGTTTATAGTTTAGCTGTATCGAAATCCACCTACTAGGTGCGCAGAATTATTCGAAGCTACGCCGACGTCCTCCCTTTGTTTTCCAATCAATTCTCCCATAACAACGAATGTAATTTGATAATTGGCACTTTTCCTCTTGATGAAAAATCCACTGGAAATTTGATCTCTTTCATTTTCTTGAAATTCAATGCGACCGTTTACGATAAAAAAGTAACCAATCAACAGAATTCGATTCTATAATGGGCTCAACAATTTGATGGCAAAATTAAAGGATAGACGCAGCCTATCCAGTGGTTCTTAATTAAGGCAATGTATCTACATGAAAACAACGAAGATAGACTCCGATGATGAAATGTAACTCAATATTTTACATCAGTTCATTTTTGTTTAATGAGGGCTCAAAGTTGATGAAAACGCTTTTCTTAATTCTCTGAGCCACAGTATGCATTTTACAATCTGAGAAGTCGAGCGATTACATTGGTTCATTCCTTTTTAACATGCCGAATATTTATTGCAAAAAGAATAGATGCCGAAAGTACGTCTTTTACACCAAAAGTATTGATTTTCAAGAAAGCCTCAATCTCTTTGTCGAAACGTTAATTTTGGCATTTTATTAGGAACGAACGAAAAAAAGAATTTTAAACCACTTTTTGTAATTTCAAAAAAGGCAATACGTTTTTCGTCATAAGCAAATATACCCGAGATTTCCCTATACATTGCTTAAATATCTAATTAGAAAATTTGGATAGAAGGATTCGCACCGAAGATTTGGCATAAGAAAAATCTACTTCGGATTAATAGGAGCCGAATTCGTTTGTTTTTTTTTAATCGCAGCTCTTACAATTATAATGATGAAGAAATAAATCCAGCGGCATTCGTTAGTTACAAAGTTTTGTTTTTAACTTTTCCGCGTTTAAAAAAAAATTTGCCTCTTTTTGTACTGATAATGAGGGTCGGAAAAGCCGAAGGCTACCGCGGTGGTGAGAAATCAGCCAGCCCTCTCTCAAAATTGGAATCGTGCATTCCAACTGATATGCTCGGAAAATTTTTTTTAACTGCTGAATGCCACTGGATTTATTTATTCATCGTTGTAATTGCATTTAAAATAGAAAAAACCACAAATGGGCTCCTATTGATCGAAATTTTGTAAAAAAAAATTTTTGTTTTATTCCGAAATCTTCGTTAGGAATCCAGCTATCCGCATTTTGAAATTAGAAATGTATGCAATGTACAGTGAAACCCTTGATCTATTTGTTTATGTATATTTGTATATTCATTTATTTATATCATAAATAAATAATGCTAAGAATAAGGGGTTTTTAACTAATTTTTTCATTCTAATAATAAGTGCTCTTGAAACTCAATACTTATGACCAAAGAACAATGATAGCCACGTGTACTTTCGGCATGTGTTAATAAGCTAATAATCATCTAATAGATAAGAACTGATTAACAGAATCCATTGTATAAGGCATGAATCTTTTATAAAATCATAAGTTTTGTTTAACTAGGAATAACATTTTAAAAAAGTTCCTTTTGAAATAAATATTCGATATGTTCGAAACTACTTTTTGATTTTCTACAACTTTTATCTTACACTTTTTCATCTAAAATGCATACCGCGAGTCACAAAATTTTTAAAATGTATTATTTTTGCCAAGTTTCAGCTCTCACAAAAACACTGAGACGCAGACTGCCGAGAACACCTATAGATAAACATGACCCAACTGAAGCGCGATTATAAATTTCGACGCATGTGCCAAAAAAAAAGAATTAAAAAAACGATAAAGAAAGTTGCATACAGAATTCCCGTAAACTGTGTAACTTTTTGAACGAAATTTTCCGTGTGATGCACGTGTTGACCACGAAAAAACACGGCGGGCAGGGGAGAGGGTGCCCGCATATAAGACATTCGAGTCGAAACCCTGCAATGTGTTGGTATATATATATATATATATATATATATATATATATATATATATATATATATTAAGGTACGAGTGGCATGTAAACACGTGCGACAGATGTGCTATGAGGTTTCGCGTTACGCCGAATAAAAGTTTGACGATATACACTGCAGCAAGCGGTGCTTCGCCATAGGCTCTCCAATGTAATTAGAGCGCGGTATTCATGGCAAGGCGCCTTCAGTTATTTGTCTGGAACGCATTGGCGCGCTCACAGACATATATCCCTGCAAAGTATCCCGCGTGGGATTTTGAAAAATACCTTTAAAATCCTGCATGGCATTCAAACAATAGTAGGGCAGTAGTATTCAGCAATGAGTTCCCGTTGGGAATGCGAGTTTGGCAAGTTTGTGGCGCGTGCGGAAGTGCCGAAGCTGAGAGCATTAGGCGTCGGTAAATAGCGTCGTTTTGAGTACCGAATTTTCCTGTGAAAAGGAGCACTACTAATGAATATAGGAGGTTTAAGGACTATAACTTCTCACTTGAGTGCTTATCTTGGCATCACCAGGCTTAATATTAAATAAGAAGATAGAAAAGAATCTGAGACAAGTGATAGCTAACCTGAAAAAAGTTTGACTTTATGTAGCGTACACGAAACAAAAGTGTAAGGGTTTATTCGATATTGCGCGGGACAAATGTTCAACTATTCCGTAAACAGAGGCTGGAAATTCTTCAAAAAATGCCAAAAGTATTTGACAATACAGCGAACAGACCCCAGTAAAGAGTTTTTCAAGGGCACTCTCGAAAAGTATTAATTTCACTTTTATTTATTGTCCCGACTGCTCTAAAAATATCAAATTGTAGATTCATAGTTGAAGATAATCACAACTCGGCATGTTGTTCATATATTCACGGCCGGACATTTGAATACAAAAAATGTACGTTTTACAAAGCTTCAACTAAAATAATAATAATTTTAATGCTGATTTGCAATTCGAGAACGGAAAATTATTAATCACTACCTAAAAAAATACTTTCTAAATACGGTTCAGCTTTACCGTCTCTGGTTTTAGTCAAGCTAAAGTCGCTGCCTTACGAAATGCTTGAATAACGAAACGAACTATGATTTGCAAAATGATATGTTAGTTTATTCAATAATGAGCGAACAAACGTTTCGGAAATAGGCCTAAAGAGAGTTTGCGAAACTTTGGAAAAGAAAAAAACATGAATTATTTACTCGAGCAGAACCAGCACGTAGCGATAAGGGCATTCAATTCAGCTGCACAAATTTTTATGAAATTCACCCCCTTCATCCCTCGCTGCCACAGTCGGCAAGAGCCGATAGGCGAGCAATCATTCCGATTGATCGAGCGAGGCGGCCGTTCGGGACGTTGCCACGATAATTGCCCGGCAACATCCACAGGCGCGGGAGGCCTAGCGAAAAACATTTTATGCACGATGTGACGAGAAAACGAAGCTCCCTCCTCGTGGAAACGAAATCGCCCATGCCCGAGCAAACAAATGACTTGCTGCCTCGTTTATCCGTGTACATGAGAAGAGCAACAAAAGACGCGAATAGTTTCAGACGGTCGGGCACATGGCAAACGGTTTATCTTCAGCTCAATCGCTATACATCGATTTACTGTCGATTAGGTGGGTGAACAGAAACCAGAAAGATAATTCGTAGCCATTGAATAAAATAACACCCACATTTACTCGACGGCCTAACATTTTAAAACTACGTTAAAGTGATCTCAATGCACTCAAGTTATATTTATTATCGGGACATTCTACTTTATTGAATACAGGTCTGCATGATTTTGTTATTGGCCAATTGATCAAGTATCTTGATTAAATTCAAATATTTTGGAAGTCTCAAAACAGTTAATTTTCCGGATACGCACATACAGCATGTGCGAAAATATTTGACTTCAATCAGCGATACTCTTGATGAAAAGAAAAGAAATCTCGAATATTAAAAATGAATTTTAAAGAGTAAAAACAGACCTTCTAGGTTGTCTTTTCTATCTTAACTCTAACTATCTTAACTCGTTATTTTACAGATCTGTAATATCTTTGCTATAGAATTTAGCTTTGAATAAACATCGCACTGTCGAATGTCGGTGAACGGTGACGGTTACGTTGATTGCCGAGAGTTGGATTAGCGTAACTACATTGAAAATTTAGAAATTTATTTTTTGACAAATATTGCGTAAAATAAGCCGAATCCTATTCCCACTATTTTTATCAAACAAATAAATTCATTCAAAATTAATTTAGCCTGCAATAGTTTTAGTTTA